CACATTTCAAAAGATTGGAAATCATTTAAAAAATAAATATTAATAAATAAAATAATATTACAATAATTAAACATACTATCTATTTTTTAACATATATACCATATTTTCTGGAATGTAAGTCATAGATTTTTTTAATAATTTGAAACATGCTGTGACTTCTATTCCAAAGCAACTTCTATAATGCAATTAATGTCAAACACACAAAAGTGCACACGTTTGGTACATGAGTTAAAGTTTATTTGCATATTCCACATACTGATAGTTTCAGCTTTCCTTTAAAGGGGTCCTATTATGTGTTTTCACTTTTTTAATTTTAGTCAAAACATTTGTTTAAGCTTACCGTTTATAATAAATTTTGTTTATAATGAACAGCACTATAATTTATATACTTAGATTTTTTTCATGTTCTGTTCTGAATATTGTTAAAGTTAAAGGATTTTTTTGTGGAGTCAGGGGAACTAAAATACATGTTAATAGCATTTATAATGTTTGTAAATGTTTTATATTTTTTGTAAACATTTTTTGTACCAGTATTTGACTTTTTTCTTAACGTAATAATGAAATGGGACTTACACCATATGCAACATATTTGTGTTTTTTGGTAACACTTTATTTTAAGGTGCCCTTGTTACACGTTTCATGTACTTACTATTATAATAACAATTAATTATGCATAATTACATACAAGTAACCCTAAGCAAAACCCTAATCCTAAACCTAATCATATAGTAAGTACATGCAGTTAATTAATATTACTCAGTGCTTAAATGTATAATTACACTGTAACAAGGACACCTTAAAATAAAGTGTAACCGTTTTTTTTTTTCTGTCAACAATGCAATGCTACACACACACACACACACACACACACACACACACTTTACTAGTGAACAACAATATAACATGCTTTTGAAACATAAATGTTAAAGGTGACATCATGAAAATCTGACTTTTCCAGGTTTTAAGTGCTATAATCAGGTTTCTGTTGCATCTACCAACCAAGGAAACGTAAAAAAGATTAACCCAGTAACTTTGTTTAGGTAAGTCTTTTTCTGAAAACGTCTGAGAAAACGAGCGCGTCTGATTTCGCTCCCTTGGTGACGTGGCAAAGGGATCTCATTATAATATTACCGCCCCTTAATCTGTAAGTTTCCACCCACGGCGCCATCATTGTGTTTTCACAAGCAACAACGGTGTACTAGTTCTAATGGCATGGCGAAAGTTTGAGCAAAACATGCTAACTGTTCTGCCTTTGTCTGCACAGACGAGCACAGAACACTATTTAGATCTAAAATAAACATGCAATTTATTTCCCAGCAGTTTACCTTCACAGACATAACCGACTGTTTTTGTAACTCGTGTGCTTTTAACGTAAACTTGTGTGTGAATGAGAACTCACATGCTGTGTGGTGGCCGCTTTCTGTCCGTGTGCTTCGTATGTGTGCACTCCGAAAACGTATATCAGAAGTTTAAACTCATATGGTTTAAACCGCATGATTTCAGCGCGTTAAACATGATAATCAGAACCAAAACAGATGTTTTTAGCAGGTCCGAGCTGTAATGGCGCAGCTCTATTCTGGAAAAGGGGGCGGGGAGCAGCAGCTCATTTGCATTTAAAGAGACCGGCATAAAAACAGCGTGTTTCTGCTTCTACTCAAAATAGGCATTTTCAAAATGATATAATAAATGATCTGTGGAGTATTTTGAGCTGAAACTTCAGACACATTCTGGGGACGCCAGCGACTTATATTACATATTGTAAAAAGGGGCATAATATGTCTCCTTTAACATCTTCTTTACTATTAAACCAAGTCTTGCAGTAAGTTTGAAAATGAATCTGTGATAGCGGTACCTTAGAGTGTAGTCGAACCCAGCGGCTGTATAGGGCGTGCTTACAGAGACGTGAGGCTCTGCCCATGTCATCCTTGCCTGTGGTGGCGTTAATGACTTCTAGAGCCTGATCTCCCACCGTCCAGTTCACACTGAAGTTAGGAGCCTTTCCCGGCTGCCGGGCCTCAGCGTTACTGATTCCTGCAAACACACAAATAGACTAATCATAGTCGAAAATCACGCCCAGAAACGGCCTTGGTGCATTTTCTTTTCTGCACTAATAAAAACATCCAGACTTGATGTAAAGACATTTCTTGAACAATTAAGATGAAATATGTTTCTGTTTTTAGTGAAAGAACACAGACAAAACAATGTGCTCAAGGTTGTTTATTCGGTAAATGTGTTAGCTTTAGGATTCCCACACTATTCCCACACACAATATTGTTTAATAAATTTAAGCAATCATACTTATGAGTGTAAAGGTGTCTCCAATAAGACCCTCAGCAGTAAGTCTGATGACATTGCACATGAACTCAAAAAGAGCAATTAAAAATGTACATACTAAACCAGAAACTACTACATTTATATTAACTGAATGACTACTTGAAAAACCCTGTAGCAATGGAAATTAATTGAAAAACACTTGAAGGCTGCATGCCATTATTATATAAATCTTTTATTCATTCATATTTATATTCTTAAGTTCATATTAATATTAAAATCTATTAAATAATAATATTATGTAATATTTCAAGAATATTTCCGTAAAGAATAAATGGCTCAATGCACTATGCATTACAGACTAAGACGACAGGAACAAAACGGTCATTCTTTGAGCTCGGGTCGAGTATGCTATGCCTCAACCTCCCACAACACCTCATCAAATGGAGATTTTCAGCAGTGAGCCTGTTTTAAAAGCTAGTTTTGCTGGGAATCTGATGTAACCCAGTGCAAAAGCAGTGTTGGGTGTTTCTCTTGAGGCACAAAAAGTGAGAAAGGATATGTACTCAATTCATCGTATATACTTCTCCAAAAGCAGCCAACATCTCCCTGATGACAAGCGAGTCTTTAATATTAGAGTGTTTTGTTAGAGTTAGGCAAACTACTAGTAGTTTTTCTAACTACTTTAGAATACAATTAATACTCCGTAATATTATCCAGCTGACTGCATAAATGATTAATTTTGCAGCACTGACCATTATTGAAATGAACTGAATCAACATTGAACGGAGTTTGAGGGCTAGAATAAAGGGCTGGGTATCGTTCAAAAATTTTTGATACCGATACCTTGACTTCGATACCGGTTCCTGAACGATACTTTTTCCGATACCAATATTAATAAATGTTTTTAACAAGATTACATTATCTCAAAAAAACTTTTTGGTTTTATTTTTTCAGCTTATTTATATTTTTACAGACTCATCTCCTGAGCCACTGCACAGGAACAAAAGAACACAAAGGAACAAAATGTAACCAACACAGTAAATCAGTGTAAATGGTTTTAATAAAGTTCAAATAGTTTTCAGTTTCCACATATTTTAGGCTACGTTTTCACTAGTGCGTTTCGTTTTAAAACGCATAGCTTAGACAGAATCATCATTTCTATTAATTTTCCACTGATTTACTGATGAGCATTAGCTGCTTCCAGCGCTGTCTGTTTTCTCTTCCGTGATCGCTGTTCTGACTCAGAGGAAGCTCATTCGCTGCTCAACTGTCAATCATATTACGCATTCATAACCCACCCTGTCTTCAATGACGAACGCCCATTACACTTCCGCGTTCAGTTCTGTACATAAGAAACCCAGAAAAACATTTCCATGGATAAAACATGAAGCTAATAAACACGCGATTACGACAGTATGTGATTTTCACGAGATTCTGCCTATTTTCATAACAATACAGGTTGTTTACATGAGAAATGCAAAGCAGGTGTAGCAATTAGCTTAATATAAGAGGCTACAAATAACATATTTCAGCAACATTATATGACCAAACCCCTCATTAGATCGCAATTGTAAGTTATTACAAACACTCGATGGTGGTTTAAAGTCAGTTTTGAGTAAAAGCGTAGTATAAATCTTATGAATTGTCTTATGAAGCGTGATGCTACAGTGTGCATGAATGGTCACGTAACATGTGTTTTTGGTCGTGTAGCGTGGATGAAGAACTTTTCTGAAACGCAGTGGAAACGCCAATATGGACGAGGATCATTTATTTTAAAATGCCGTTTTAAAATGAAAACGCACTACTGTAGTGTAAACGTAGCCTTACATCTATGGGGGTCTTACACACTACAGCCTCACGTTTGAGTGACGTCTCTGGGAGGAACCGGTGTAAACTAGTGTTTTTCCTGGATGCCTCGCCAGAGCCAATCACTAGCACTTGATTTAGGCACATCAAGCATGCTGCTCACTAACGTTGACCAGATTAGCCCCTTTGGTATCGAAATTTGGTACTGAACGACAAGACATCTTTCGATACTCGATAGTATCGAGGCAATTCGGTCGGTGCCTAAAAAGTATCGAGCTCGATACCCAGCCCTAATAATTACAGTATTGTCTTTGTCTCATATTTGATGATGTTTGCATCATTGATTCTGTTACTTTCCTGTTTATTACAGTGAAGCTGCTTTGCTTATAAAAAGCACTATATAATAATGGTTATTTGATGTAACTACTTGACCAAAAAAGCAGCTTGACTGTAGTTTAACCACTTTAAATTTTGACAAGCGTTTCCCTACCCTGCTATAGGTTGTATATAGGATTATTTTCTAGCTTTCTCTTTATAAAAAATAAAAAAAGTGTGAGAGAGAATGAGAGAAATCAGCAGGGGAATCTGGGATTTCAGGCACGGTATGAATTACTGAAACAGGCCGGTAGTGGAGAGCAGGCCCATCTAAATTCCAGTAATTCCTCAAACCACGAGGAAATTGAAGGCGAGTGTGGGGAAACTGTCCGTCTAGTAAATGGTAATACAATTTGACATGGGTGCCATTTTCAATGATTTGGGAGAGGAAATGCGAGCCTGTGTGATGTTGTCTTACCGCTGAGCAGAGGGCGGTTGAGGGAGAATTGCTGGGGCAGGTCTTCGATGTCAGCGATCCGCTGGTACATGGCTCTGGAGAGATGATCAGCGTGATACAGGCTGCCCAGGATGATGCTGGAGAAGTAGATGGGCTCAGTGAAGTAGCTCATCAGAGAGCCCTGGATGCCCACCACGTTCCACCTGCAGGAACAAACACACACACCTCACATTAGTGTCCAGATTTTATATTGGGCACCAAGCGGCAACCTTACACAGACTGTTAAAAAGAATGTAACAATAATCAGCATTGTCATTTATTAATATTGCTATAAACTGCATAGACCCAACAGTACTGTATGCAGATAAATTCCACGTTCCACCTGCAGGAACAAGCCCACACACCTCACATCAGTGTCCAGATTTTATATTGGGCATCAAGCGGCAAACTAACACAGGCTGTTAAAAAAAAGTAACTATAATTAATATTGTAATTTATTCATATTACTATGAACTGCATAGACCCAACATTATGCAGATAAAGTTAGAATGAAAATGGATGATGGAAAATGGAGTTAGATTGGACACGCAACAATAAAAGATATGAGAAGCAAAGTTGATAAGCCTATTTATTTTGTGCAGTTATTATTCTTATTATATTAACTTATAATTTTCTTATTATTGAATTCAATTACAATATAAATATTTTATACATTTTTACATGCATTTATTAACCCCTGCTGTACGCAACCCCATCAAAACAGATCCACAACCCATTTTTATTATAATAAATTATAATTCATTTAATTATTATACATTTTTTATAATATAATTATTTTATCATTTCATATTATTGGGATTTTGCATTGATTTCCCCCTGCCATAAGTAACCCCACCAGAACAGACCCGTGGCCCATTTTTAATATAATTATGATTAATTTAATTTAATTATTATTACATTTTATTATAATATATTGTATCATTTTATTATTGCCATTTTGCATTGTTTTTCCCCCTGTTATACGCAGTCTTATCAAAACAGACCTGCAACCCATTTTTATTGTAATTAATTATTACTAAATTTAATTATAATGAATTAACTTTTTTTATTGACATTTTGCATTGTTTCATCAGTTTCATGATTGACATTTTGCATCATTTTCCCCCTACATTCACAACAGACCCACAGACCCACCCAATTTGATTTAATTATATAACTGATTATAATTAATATTGAATTTAAATATAATTATTTTACACTATTTTTCTTCTGTTGTATGGAAATCCATCAAAACAGACAGGCCCACCACTAGACACACTGACTGCACCGTTATTGCACTGACTCGCCTTTACAATAATACATTATTCTTTCGTTTGTTAATAGCCTGAAGTTTTTCCAGCAGTTTGACATAATGAAACACCTCTGGAATTCCTAATCTCACTCCATCTAAAGCGCTGTAAAAAATTCCATGTACAGGCAGATGGAACATAAGTCAATCATGAACTACAAAAAAAAACAAAAAAAAAAACTGAAATCTGGCCAGAAGCCCAGATGTGAATGATTTTCAGCAACAGTGGAAGAATTGTTCAATTAGTGCTGTTCTTCCAAACCACCTCATTTACGTCTTCACAGGTCCCAGACTCACCCACTGGGTCTCCCCTCCTCTGCCGTACACAATCAAAAGGCCTAATCAAGCTCAAATCTGCTCCCCAAAACAACACCTGCTGTATGCAGCTGAGAAGAACGCAGACTCAAGTGATTGGAGTCGTTCTCTTCAGTCTGACCAATCAACAGCCTCAGACGCCAATGAGACACAGTCCAACTTTTGCTACTGTTAATAAGACTACTTTGTTAGCGATGCACTTCTCTCCTGTAACCAGAAAACTCTGCAGCTTATTCAGTTTCTGAAGGAGGATATCTAGCCTACTTGCTAATTTACAGAATTGATGACAGTAACCTGGAAACCGTGACAAATCCAGTGATGATTTCATCCCTAAAAGTGTTCATTGCATTCATTTGTTTTGCAGAAGCCAGCAAATCAAACAGGAAGTGATTTTCACATAGTACTTGTGAGTTTTTGTGTGTAATATGCGGCCAGTGAATGTACTTCGGGTGGTTGTCTGAGACTAGCCCAGTACAAGAACATTTGATTCTGGCCGTAAGACAAGAGCTCTAATCAAAAGAACTGTGATGCATAAAAAGCCAGACATTACATATCAGAGTAAGAACAAGCAACCTTTAAGATAAAAATCCAGTGGAACAATTCAGACTAATGATATAGATTATTTAGCAAAGATGCATTAAATTAATCAAAAGTGACAGTAAAGATTTTTACTGATGATTTCTGAAGGATCATGTGACACCTAAGACTGAAATAATGGCTGCTGAAATGCCATCACAGAAATAAATTCTATTTTAAAATATATTAAAATAGAACAGTTATTAATAATATTTCACTATATATATATATATATTTTTTTTTAATAATTTCTTTTTTAAATATTCAACTATATTCAAAAACATAATTATATATTATTTACTAATAATTATAATTATAATATTAAATGTGAATAATTCAATAATGTCTTTGCCTTTAATAAATGTTAACGACAATAAATGTCTTTAATTCTTTAACTCTAAATTTTTAATTTATAATTATTATTAGAATGATAATTTAATAAATTAAAGTCAAAAGTTAAAAATAATTAAAAAAATACATTTGCAGTTATTTATTTCAGGGTTTTTCTACATTTAATTTGGTTCTAAATTAGTGTAAGATAACAACAGGAGAGTAGTGACCAGGAAGAGGGTTTAAACACAAACAGTAGTGTTGTTTGGTTCAGTGAAATCTGTCTGTCTATTACAGCTACTGTTATCCTTATCATCATTCAGACACGGGTGGCTCAGCACCTCCCATGAAAAATTCACAGGAACACCCTCCACCTGCCGTGTCCCTGTTTGAGATCTACATCTGGTCATGTTACTAGCAGAGCAGGTACAGACTGACGGATGAGACACAGAGTTCTATCAACACCACACACTCATTCATCTCAGCAGATGGGCTGCTTTTCCTTGAGTGTGAGCTCTGAACATCACTTCTGCTGTGTATGATTGTGTCAGACTGTCCCTGAGCAACACATAAACCAGCCCAGCCCTGACTAAACACCGTTTTACTATGAAAATCAGAGCGATAAACGGAAACAATCTGATATAAAACAGACACTGGAAACGCTCACTGTCTGTCACAATTCATCAACTGACACTTCTCTATATAGATGCTAATACATACAGTAAATATGTATTAAAGAGATAGTTCACCCAAAAATAAAAATTCTAGTATTTTTTCCCCCCACACTATAGAAGTCAATGGCTACCGTCAATTGTTTTGTTAACAACATTACTCAAAATATCTTCTTTTGTGTTCAACAGAAGAAAGAAACTCATACATTTACTCAGAACTTGAAGGTGAGTAAATGATGCAGGATTTAATTTTTTTGGGTGAACTATCCCTTTAAGCACTGTTATCTTAGTTTAACTGAGATATCGTTTTTTATTGTTTTTATTAATATTTTGAATCAGTATTTATTTAGCTAAAGTTTTAGCAATTTTGTTGTGCGTTTTTTGTCGTCATTTTTAATCATTTTTAAATATATATCTATATAGTTTTTGTTCATTTTTATTTCAGTTTTAGTTTTTGATATTTTAGTATATCAAGCTAAACTAAAATGAGGAATGTTGCCTTGGCTAGCTGAAATAAAAACAAAATGTATTTTATACGAGACAGGACCTGTGCTCTCCGGTCACAGCTGTCTCTGACACATCCTTATCTGTCCGCTCACAGCTGCTGGGTGGCAGGAGATGCCACACTGACCCCACAGGATGAATGAATGCTCCCTCCTATACTGCTAATGCACTCTTCTTTTAACTAGGGTTATAGTAATGCTGAACCCATGCATTTCTTTCCCTGTCAATTATAAAGTCTGGTAAGAGCCAATGGGCAATTCAATTCATAAAGCCCTTGTTCTCTTCCCAGCAGTGACAGGCACAGCTTCCACCTAGTGCAGAGAGATTAACCAGAAGGTTCTAGACTAATGCTTTTGCTGAGCTGTCCGTTATTCTAATAAAGAGGGCTGACAATAGCTCCGCTCCAAGGGTAAGGGAGCTGCCTAACTAGACAGCATTTTTAGAAGTAAAGGTAGGAAGAACATTATGCTCATTATAACTGTAAATATATCATTACAATCGAAGAAAGCATTGCGATGAGCTCAGCAAAGAGAATTTGAATGTATACTTATTTCATGAAATAGCAACAAGTAGCATTTTTTAAATCTAAATTAGATTTTTAGCAAATTGTGTCATTATCTTAGTAACATGCTAATGGCAATCAGTTCAGGGCTCAAAATAAATAAAAATTGCCAACTAATATTAAACATTTAATAATATTTTATATATTACATATATACATATTTCACACACACACACACACACACACACACACACACACCATATATATATAAAAACAACATTTTTATTTATTGTTTTCTTAGATTGTATTTATATATATATATATATATACAGTAGTGGTCGACCGATATTGTTTTTTTGACAGCCGATGCCAATGCTGATATCTTGGAAATCACGGTGGCCGATGGCCGATATAAATGTATTTATTTTAATTAATATTTAAGAAATTTGAAATCATTTGAAAATGAATAAAAAAATAAATTTGTAAAATAAACATACTTATAGGCTATAAACATATTTTTATGTTATAGGCTACGCGCCGTCAAAATAAAAGTCCCGACTCGAACGCATCGGCCAAACAGAAAAACTTATCGGCCGATGCCGATATTTGAAAAATGCCAAATATCGGCCGATATATCGGTCGACCACTAATATACTGTATATATACAGATATAATTATATTTAATACAAATATTTTTTTATAAATATAAAAAAATCTATATTATAAATGCATACAAATACAAAATACAAATGTATATATTTAATATTCATATTTAATATTTATTTTTTAAATTATTGTGTGTATATATAATTTATTAAAGGTCAATTAAATATATTAAACACAATTAAAATATTAAAGCTTTGTATACATTTATAATAATTGTAATAATTTTATTACACTATTTAAATTAATTCGTTATTTTTTTGGAAAAAATTTAACATTTACAAACAAATAATACATATAAATGTAATATTTTTTAATAATTAGCTATAATGCAACAGCTACTAACAGCTATAAACCTCAAACAGTTTGTCTGGAAAAAGAGGACATAAGTGTCGGGCCATTACTGGCCCTGGGACATCCTTAAGGCTGAGCTGTGTAACTGATATTGTTGCTGATACATGAGCATTCAGGCGCATTTACATTTATGCATTCGGCAGACGCTTTTATCCAAAGTGACTTTGACTACATTCAAGATTCATGTTTATATTTGATCTGTTCACATTTTTTTTTCAGTTAGGATGTCTATGTTGATATGTACATGCTACCAAACTACCTTGCGATTTTGTCACTGCATGACATCGTAAGCAGCCTCTCGCCCTGCAGAACTCCGTCCCACGTCTGTATGGTGTTACTAGAGCGCACCGGGATGGTTCCCTCTCCAGACTCGATCTTGGTCCTCAGTTGACCCCTTGCCTTCCTGTTTGGGTGTCTGTCTCCTTGGTCTGAACAGAAAAAAAAAAACCCAGAAAGAATTAAACAGTGAAATAAACATTTAAAAACAATGAGCGGCACTTACAGGCAATGTTTCTAAAATTATTAATCTACTTCAACAAACCAAGAGATTTTATCAACCAATAACACTAACTTAAAAACAGTAACTGTGTGTGTTTTTTTTTTTTGCTTCAACAGCTGAATAATTGTATGATATATAAAGTCAAGCAAAATAATTTAAATACAACACTCGAGAGCAGAATTAATCAGGCCACAAGGGGAGTCGACAACGCCAGCTAATTAAAAACACTGATGAAATGTATTTTTGAAATGCAGTCAGACACTTGAGTGAAATTATAATGAAATGCGACCTGATCATAAGAGGACCCATCCTGATCTTAATTGAATACAACTATTCAGTTTTGATCATTAATTTCAAACAAGTGTTTGAGTAAAATAACATCCTCACACACCTCCCGCTAGAGCTTGGCTTATTAAAGACTCAGTCTCACCCTCTACACCCGCCTCGTGTGGAGAGAAGATCCGGGCGTCTCCGCAAGGCGATGTGCTGATGTAAAGATGAAACTGGACATTGTCTTTCAGCCGGTAGCCACGTTTGTCACACTGCGTGAATATGGACTTTTGATGCTCCTCTTTATTGTTACTAAGTTTAGAGACAAACAACAGAAAAATTCTTCTCAATTATTGTCATGAACAGATACAAAACTGTATGACTATAATTATTTTGACTGCAATTTGAACTTCAAGAAGAAGAAGAATTATTATAGATTATAGAATTTGTTTAACTTAATTTTCATAAATATTTCAATAGATCACAGCCTTTGGTGGTTTAATAAATTGCAAAAGGCTAGCTGACGATTAATCTATATCACGCATACATTCTGAGTATAAATATTACATATCTCACATGTACACTGTTTTTGGAACAACTTGGATTACATATAACTTAAAAAAATAAAAAATGTAGACTTAAAAAATATATCTAGATATATTCTTTATTCTAGATTTAATATTATAATTATTTATTACAGAATACATTTTGCATCTATCTATCTATCTATCTATCTATCTATCTATCTATCTATCCGAGATGAATTATTTATATATATATATATATCATTAAACCACAACATTGGTGATTTAATAAAAAAGCTATATCACAATTAATCATATCTAAATGCTGAGTGTGTGTGTATATATTTTGTTGTTTGTGTGTGTATATATTTTGTGGTATTTTGTTGTTTGTTATTAATTTTTCTGTATGATTATTTTAAATATTTCCATATATATTAAATTCAATCACAACATTTGGTATTTTAATAAATTGGAAAATGCTGATTCATCTCTTTTAATTGTGCATCTCTATTTAAACTGTATACAATAACACAAAATATTAAATTAAAAACTGTTTATGACTTTAATTTCCGTTCCTGCTAGGCTAAACATCCATCATGCTATGGTGACATATGAGACGTACACAGACACGCAGGGCAGTAAAGGCAGTGTCTCACCTTAAGAAGTGCTCCAGCTGCATGTAGAGATACCTAATCAGGGAGCGACGAGCAATGATTTCAGCGTGACAGTCGTTGAGCGCCAGGCCACGGTCGCTCATATACTCGCCGTTTATACACTTGGTTCCCGTGGAGACGCAGATGACCTGAGCGTCCTTGACATCAGTGCCTGAGTTAACAGCAGGAGGAAACATACCAACAGAAATCACACGACATTCTCTCACACCTGAAAACTACTGTACTGAAGTCTAGGAATACCTAGACTTAGGAATCATAAGAAATGTATAGATTTAGGTTCTGATTCTGATTGCTTGATTTCATTATCGATTTGATTTCATTATCTTTTAATTCTTTTAATAGTAAAAGCATTCTTCATTTCAAGTACATGAAACAAGTCTCATCAGTCCAGTCAGTGAGTGATTCATTAGGCTGATTCATCTTTTTGACTGATTCACAGGCTCAGAGCCATTTGGCAGGAGAATGCAGATGTTTGTTGTTGCGGGTTTTTTTTTTTAATGGAAACATTTCTGAATAAGATGTTCTCAGTTCTAAATCCGGTGCAGGACTCTACCTGTTGTCATGACAACACCAGCCAGAACTTTCCGTCGTGCGTGTGGAGACGTGAAGTTGTCAGTGAGCTCGCTGAATTTGTCCACTACCAGACGAGAAACAGCATCTGCAAGGACCTGGTAAAGAGCATACAGATGTCAGACTTCACACAGACTGCACTGCTAACATCAGTAAAACATCAGTACATCCATGACTCTGCTTTAAGCAGGCATGGAATATTCAGAACAGTATAGACATCATGGCTAAATTGCACATCAAGTCAGAAAAACATGCTCCTTGTCTTATTGTTCAAGACTCATGGGTATGGAAGGACATTTCATCCATGGGATTCTGACCCACAATTGCGTGCTTTAAACGTGCAATTCTGAGGGAAAAAAGGCAAAATTATGAGATATAAATTCAGAATTCTGACCTTTTTTCTCAGAATTTTGAGTTTATACCTCGCAATTCTGCCGTTTTTCTCTGAATTATCTTGCAATTCTGTGTTTGTTTTGTCTGTGTCATGGAATAAAAATATATAAAAGGTAAATGTAACATGTAAACTCCTACTGTGAGAACAAAAGTCAAGTTTTATGAGACTGTAAAAGTCATTAACTCGCAATTCTGAGTTTATATCTGGCTATTCTAGAGAATTTTGAGATATAATCTCAGAATTGCAAGAAAAAAATCCAGTTTTTTATTATTTTTTTCATCCCCTGGCAGAAACAAGCTTCCATAGATGGGCCCATATATGGGTTTTTATCCTCTCCCCTTCAACAAACTTGCTTCAATATGTAATATCCACTTCTCATAATTCAATCAATTCCCGATGGATAAAAATCCAGTCAAGGCTCTACATTTTTTTCTTTTTGAATATGCAATTCCACTAATTGAGCTAAGTAAAAGTTTAATACAGAGTTTTAACATAATATACTGATTTTTAATGGAACAAACACAAATGAAATTCAACTGAACCTGCCCCTCTATGGATGACTGTAAAGCAAAATTTACCGCAGACCTCAGATTCACCTTCTGCTGCTGCAATATAACATCAATCTTTCATCGAAACCCTTCAGGCACCTCGGTGAATCCTTTCCGCTAACAGTGCCCTCCACTTCACATTCCTTAAGCTCCCTGTTAATATGCTGGAAAATGATTATACCAGGGAAAAATCAATGGCCGAATGGGCAAGAATTAGAGACATTAGTCTAACATTACTTCCCAAATACTTCGGAGTCACTCGGTCGGAGACGGCTAATGGGAGATTTAAGCGGAGCGCACTCTCGATATATTATCAGGAGACAGTGAAATCTCCCACCGAACAGAAGGCTGCGTTTTACGCTCATGATAAAACACACTAGTTTCCACCATCATCTTTATTTGCTTTCATTTCCCATAAGCGCCTGGGGACAGATGACAGGAAATTCACTGGCCAACTAGACTCTGACAGATTTCACAGGAGAGCAGCCTAGAAAACCAAGAAAGTGGAAAAAGGAGGCTACCGCAGACATAAAAATCATTTCAAAGACAAATAACATTCTTGAGATTATATAATACATTTTATATTAATAACAGCATAAGTAATTTTATATATTTTTTTACAGTCTAATCATTAAACATTTACTATGGTAATATTATATAATAAAATTAATAAAATTGTATAAATAATTTATAATTTTAAATGGCAATTACAGTTTAAGTAATTTTCTAAGTAATGGTATATATCAAAATATAATGTCATTTTATGATTATCTTATAAATATTAGATAATTTTATTATTAGCTATTACGTGCTTTTAAATATAAATATAAATGTCAATTTTTTATATAATCCAATGATTACATATTTATTAGTTATTATATAAAAAATAATATTTAACTATATACAGGATTTATTACATTATATGATCCATTTAAAATAGGCATTACCATAAGGTTATTAAAATGTGGCATTATCTGTTACATTTACAGCAAAAACTTATACTGTGACATAAAACACTACTTTACTAATCACAGTACTCAGACCCTTCTATACGATTTTTCATATCGCCCACTGCTATATCATTCAACCTTCCATTCTGGACATGAGGTCAGTCTGTATTGCCACACTCAAGTGCAGGAAAAACATGCCTGAAGCGTGACGAGAGCCTATTTAACCTCTCACCATCTGGTTAAAACAAATACACCTATCCACCTCAGGTCTCATATTGACATCATCAGATTCGGGATGGATAATGGGGGTTTGCATTCATGGCGCTGTATCTGTCACGCAGACAGACAGCCCAAGAGCCATCAGCATCAGAGACAAAACATGCCGCTGACAGGACTGCTCTTTAGTGGACAGGTAGTGGGCAGGCTGAAACTAAATGTTCTTGTTTTGACACGGTTCAGAGGAAGATGTTAATTAAGATTGGGTCGCTTCCAGACCTGGCCTTATCGCAAAAGCAGGATTAACAGAGGATTTTAGAAATGTGTAAATAGACGTCTTCTCACACAAACGCCAGTCGTTGGTCATTTCAGCTCACTGTGTTGCTTCACTGGCAGGAGTGAGCAATATATTGAATATGCATGACATATATCCAATGCTTTGCTAGTGACAAGACATTAAGCAACATGGTGAACACCATAGTGATTTTTATTTAGCCATCAAAATTTCCTAAAGACAAGTTTCAAGGTCTTTCTTTGTCTCACAACTTGCAAAAACACTAAAAGAGACTCAAGTCATGATTGGTAAGTTTGATTAATTTGAAACAAATTAATCAGTTCAGGCCAATGAAGCAAATCAATTTAGAATTTCAACAATTTGTCTGAATCACTCAAAAATGCTCAGTCTCAACATGAGAAGTTTTATATATAAATTAAAACATTTTAGTAAAAATGTATGAAGATTAATTAATAAGTGCATTTATGCTGATATATATAATGAAAATGATTAAATCCTCAAAAACAATATAAAAAAAGAATGAAATATGTCAAAACGTCAATTTGACGATACGGCAAATAAATAAAATGTGACCCTGGAGCACAAAAGCAGTCTTAAGTCGCTGGGGTATATTTGTAGCAATAGCCAAAAATACATTGTATGGGTCAAAATTATTGATCTTTCTTTTATGCCAAAAATCATTAGGATATTAAGTAAAGATCATGTTCCATGAAGATATTTTGTAAATTCCATACTGTAAATATATCAAAAGTGAATTTTTGATTAGTAATATGCATTGATAAGAACTTCATTTGGACAACTTTAAAAGGCGATTTATTTTGAATATTTAGATTTTTTGCACCCTCAGATTCCAGATTTTCAAATAGTTGTATCTCTGCCAAATATTGTCCTAACAAACCATACATCAATGGAAAGCTTATTTATTCAGCTTTCAGATGATGTATAAAATCTCAATTTCGAAAAATGTACCCTTATGAATGGTTTTGTGGTCCAGGGTCACAAATATATAAATGAAGATTATCATCAAATGGAATAAAAAAAATAGAGAAAAATGTTTAAGCTATATCACTCAATCCATCCCAATATTTTAACAGAGCTCATCTTCATTTCCATTAGGCTTTGTTCCTAATGAAGACGGCCATTTGTGCCGGTTTTGCGCATCACGTTATAAAGGCTTAGATTATGATCTCTGATAAACTTAAACGGATCAGAAACTTCAATTAAACACTATGAGATGTAAAGGACCGATTTCTTATAGTCATCAGATTGTTACAGATCTGATACAATCAGACTTTATCTGCCAGTCTGGTGTGTGTGCTAAAGGAAGTCGCAGTTTTTAAAGTTTTTAAGTTTTTAAAGGTTGAAATGAGGTTCAATATTAAAGTCTGAGTTCGTGAAAATATCCACTTTTATTAATCTATAACTGTAATGCAATCTTCTATAGCATTTCTTTACCAATTGAGGCCTGCATATCTCTAGGGTATAAATAAACCATTAATATTTACTGCTACACAGCTGTTAATAATTAAGGTTAAAGGCCATTTAAGATGCATGGGAATTGATGTGTCTATGTTGTGTTATGTCTAGCTGTTTAAGATCTATTTGGCTTTCGCATTGTGTCTCAATGGTTAACTTCATAGTTCATCTAGTGGTTTTTGAACATGCTTGGTGTGAATGAACTCTTAAAGGGAAATTCTGTCATCATTTACTCACAATCATGTTTTTCCAAACCCATGAGACTTTGATTAATCTTTGAAACACAATTTAAGATATTTTTAATAAAAGATTTGATTTCTGTACCTCCACTGAAAGTCCAGGTGCTAGAACAAACCTCATTGCTTCATCGTTTAGATTTAAATAAAAACCTAAATTAATCATATAAAGTTTCGGACAAACCATTGCCTTTGGCCAAAATACGAGTCCATAATCCATAATAACGCTTTCTTCAATGAAAAAGTCCATTACCTGTTGTTCTCTCACATCAAAATCCACTGATATATTTGTAGAACTGTTTTCGCTTGTAAACCGTCTGTGCATATTTCTCTCCTGATTCAGGCTGAGATGACTTTTTCACTGGAGAAAGCAATATTATGGATAGAGGACTAGTCTTTTAGCCGAAAGCAACAGTTTCAAGTTAAAAACCGCCTTGATGATGGATGTGACGAGTGGGGGCGGGGCCGAGAGCCGTGGGAACGGAGCGAGGCCGGTGGAGTAATTGATAATGAGCGACACCTGCACCACTCACCGGTCTCGAGTCTCACGGAGGAGCTCCGGAAGGATAAAAGGGAGGAGTGACGACCGTGTTGGACGAGAGAGGACCAGGCCTGGACTTTATTTTGTTTTTTATTTGTGCGGCAGTCGTCCGCGAGGGGCTGCCGCTTTACTTTCGTTTTGTGTTTGTTTATTTTATTAAATCTTCTTTAAATGCTCGCCAGTTCCCGCCTCCTTCTTCCCGAACTACGAACTTTGTTACAATGGATTTGTTTATTATAAACATGCAGCTTTTTGACTCACAAGACATTAACTGATGGACTAGAGTCGTGTGGATTACTATTGGATTATTGCAATGTTTTTTGCTGTCTGGACTCTCATTCTGACGGCACCCATTCACTGCAGAGGATCCATTGGTGAGCAAGTAATGTGATACTAAATTTCACCAAATCTATTTCAATGAAGAAACATATCCACTGAACATAAACAGTGTATGCTATTCTGTGTCAGCTGCATCACATACATTTTCTACGTTGTTTACGCTTTGATTTAAACAAAAACAACGTATCCGCGTGACGCAGCTGACACAGAATAGCATACGCTGTTTACGTTCAGTGGATACTCTCCAAAATGGCACCAGGAGACGAATTGTTGAATAAAGTCGTTATTTTTGTTTTCTTTGCATGCAAAAAGTATTCTCGTAGCTTTGTAAAATTACGGTTGAACCCCTGATGTCACATGGATTATTTTACCGATCTCCTTGCTACGTTTCTGGACCTTGATTGTGGTAATTACATTGCCGTCTATGGGAGGGTCAGAGAGCTCGCAGAATTCATCAAAAATATCTTAATTTGTGTTCCGAAGATGAACAGAGGTCTTACGGTTTTAGAATGACATGAGGGTGAGTAATTAATGACAGAATTTTTTTGGTGTATTTTTGGGTGAACTAACCCTTGAAGGGAAGTGAATTTTCAGCAAATTTTCATTTCGGGCGAACAATTCCTTTACTAAACTTTTTGGATGTTTTGGTTACCTGGACTTTCATTGAAGGGACAGAAAATTACCACAGAATTTTCATTTTAGGGTAAACTATACATTAGTCATTATGTGTAGCCTAGTTTTCAGGCCAATATGAAAGACTTTGTAGAGTCTGAGGTGTAGATCTCTTACTTGAGGCAGGTGCAGCTGTAGCCCCTCTCTCGGGATGGGTTGGCGTGATGGGGTCTGGTCCAGTTGCATGTTGAAGAGCGCTGACAGAGCGGCTTGGGCAGCCCGAGCTTTAGCAAGTTTCTTATTTCGGCCTGAGCCCTCAAACGTCTGCGAGTCCACGGTCACCGACATCACAAAGTTCTTAGCGTGGCTCTCCCCGCTCTCCGACACAAACTCGTATTTGAGGCCCGGCCGCAGCTCGTTGAGAATCATGACAGGGTTTTTGCCGCTGGTCGAGGAGGTGAAGGAGGAGGGCGGCGGCAATGGCGCCTGCATAAGGCTGTTCGCACCTAGCGCCTGGGGCACGGGATACTCTCCCAGCGGTTTTAAGGAGCCGTTGCTGTTGGAGCCCAGAAAAAACGTTTCCTCGGACGATGCCGGCGTCTCAAACCCGTTGAAGAGCATGTCAGGGAAGTCAGCCTGGTCGGAGGTGAAATCCGTGTTGACGGTGAGCGTACGGCCCATGGCCAGGTGCGCCTCGGACGCGTTTGGGAACTGCACAAAGGAGCGCAGCGCCTTCTCGGCGGCGTTCAACTTGGCCTTTTTCTTCGTAGGCCCCGAGCCCTCGAACAACTGACCGTTAACCTCAACGGTCATGACGAAGACCGGCGCATGGACCGGGCCGGTCTGCGAGAGCAGCTTGTACTGCAAACCCGGTTTGATCTCATTCAGCTGCATCAGGGCGTTCTTGGGCAGAACCGGCCCTAGTGTTTTCTTACGTTTCTTGGGTCTGAATTTGGAGTGTGCGTGACCATTGTTGCCCTCCTCCAGGGGCCGCTTGCGACCCCCTCCTCCACTACCATTAGGGAGCTGCTCCACCAGGCCAGCTCCCTCCTTAGAAGAGACGTTGTCCAGGTTGCGGTTTTCCTTTACGTCGGTGCTGCATGAACCTGCGGTGCCCAGAAAGAGTAACTTACAACGCCTTCGTTGCAGGATCTTGTAAATGTAAAATTTATAGATTCCTTTATCTTTCTTTGTAACCGAACAAGTGATGTGTGTTCCTTTTGTTGTGTGTGCCGAGGGAATCTAGCATGACACATTTTTAGACTAATCTTGTGAAAAATCATTATGAGAGAAATTTCAGAGATGACACTGAACAAAAAAAATATTTCAAGTAAAAAACCCCCCGATTAATTAACATAATTAAGGAAGACCATGAGGTATAAAATCTAAATTATCATAATCATCAGTTTAATTTAAAGTACAGTTTCAGTTTTGCAGGCAATGGCCCGTGCAGAGTCAATCAATCATCTCGTTGGAGATAAAATATGTATTAATGGAGAACAAAAGCAAAGCTTTAAAAAGACTAATAGCTACTTAAAAAGGCTCTTTTTGAGGGATGCCAAATGCACTTTTTCAGGTCCTTTCATATAAATAGAGGTTATGAAAAGAAAAAACTGGGTTCACAAAAAAAGTTAAATATTTGTAAAGTTTTTAGTATGGCGTTTTGTGAATATTTCTCTATCAACCTATCAAGCATCACATTTCGACCCAAAATCAAATTAAATAAATGAATAAATACTGCAGTCAGTTCCTTTAAAATACGAAAAAAAATAAATAAATAAATAAACAAACACAGACAAGCCTACATGCAATTATTAGGTTTGGCACTTTGTGTGGATGCCATTTTATATTTATGTAACAGTGCTTTTCACTCCTTAAGGTTTTAGAAATCAAATTAAATAAACACTGTAACAGTATAAAAATATAAATGTATAAAAAATAAGGCAACATATTAAATTGCATGCATTAATGTGTTAACTGTAACAGTCAAAACAATTACAAATAAAATAAAATAAAAGCTGGCCTTAAAATTATGTTGGGTTTAATTAATATTATTTTATTTTGATGTTTGGGTGAAATAGAACCTGGACAATTCTTTTCATGAGACTTATCTCATGTGTTTATATTTACAGGTCACAACTGTTTTGCCGTAATAAGCAGATGAAACACACATCATCATGTCCTGTTCACAAAGCTGATGGAACTTTGGCTAAATTTTCATTTATAACATCCTTCAGCAAAAGCTCGCTAGGTTACTGCTTTCAGTGCTCTGGTAGAGAGAGAATAGCATCCGTGAACAGTAGGGGAACAGAGTAAGAGCTCTCTGCAAACAGTAGGAACAAGAGAGTGGATAAGGGAGTGGGTGCAAGGCAGGAGGAGAAATAAAATGAAGACATCTGAGAAGAGAGAAAGCCGTGTGAGAGAAAACATGGCGGGGACAAGAGAGAAAACATGGAGGAGAAAGAACCAAAGAGAGATAAAAAGGGAGAGAGAGAAATATACAAAACAGTCTGGAGCAGAATCTGAATAATCAAAACCCTTCTTATACGTGTGAATGCACATATCCACGTTATACACACACACACACACACACACACACACACACACACTCTTGTACTCTTCAGCTCGTGTAATCAATTTGACCACATGCGATCAATTCCGGCCTAAATGATGGAAAGCACACTCTTGATAAAACAACAGCTTTGTTCCAAAACCTAGTGAGCTGCCTACTTAGGTGGCATTTTAAAGCATCATATGCCACCCAAAAGGTACTGTGTGCATATTCAATCTCATAATTCACTGCGACAAACTGTATCAGCTCTTATAATACATTCAGAAACAAAAAGTATCAACAAAACATGCCATCTAATTAAAATGGACTATTTTACACAATATTTGTGTTTGTTATGCATTTCTATGCTTATAAGAGTAATGTCAAATAATTCATTCAAATCTGTGCTTTGTGTGAGGATCCCTACTTGTATGATGCACCCCATCTAGAATGTTACAAAAGTGAGGTTCGATTTCAATTAAGATGTGACCATAGAAGTAGACAGCAAGGCAGGTCGCTAGGTTTCAGAATAAAGCCAATGTTACACGAAAAACAAAGAAACCCCAAAAGATTTGTGCAATGCAACTTAACTTTAACAGCCCAGGACAAACAAAAACAGCTTAGAGATGTTCAAGCTCTCAGTTTAGAGAGCTGCCCACCTTCAGCTGAAAGTAAAATCAATCGCACATGCTGAAAAAGCATAAAACTTACAGTTCTTACAGTTGGCAGTTAAAAACATTGCCTCACTACGTGCTATACATTTCTCAAAGTTCTAAATAAAACCGAATATTAGAGTGAGTTTTACAAGAAAATACTATAATTTTAGTCTTTCTACTTCAAAAATGTTCATTGAATTCATTGTTACTTGCTGATTCTTTGCAATTATTTGTGAAATTTACTAGCAATTTCTGAGTGAAAATCATTCCTACTCCAATTTTTTCCCAGTGCATGTAAACGCAAACACGCGCAGAGGCACCGGCAGTTTAAATCACATAGAAACAGGATTTTTTTCCTCTTGAGCCATGAACTTTAAATGTATATGTCCAGTAACAGTGAGGTGCACTGGCTACTTTTGTGTGGCCACCATGTTGATTCACAAGCTTTCTGAATTTCCTATGGAGGAAATCAATGGAGAAATACTGGCTGCTAAAAAAGTGGGCCAAAAAAACAACTTTAAAAAAAAAAAAAATGTATTAGTCATCGGGGTGGAAAATCTGGTGCTGAATGAGTGCATATAGCCATCGCTCCTGCCAAGCAATGAATTGCTGTGCATAATCCTATAGTTTCCTGCTCCTAAAATCTATACCTGATAGAGAAATATGCACTGTCACAGGTAGAAAGCTTTTGAATATCAAGTAACGCTTATCTGCAGAAAATCTAAATAAGAAAGCGTCCGCTTCACTACAGACCAGTAATAAATGACGGGACCCTCCATTGTCAGTGGCTCTGAACAGAAGCGGCTGAGTGACGGGACAATAGAGGGTTACATTTCCTTTGGGTTAACAACTCTTCCCAGAACCTTCTATTCACAGCACTGCTGAATGAAGAGGAACGGGACTCAAGAGACACGGAAAGAACGCTGTTTCTTGAATCCGATCAGTCTTCTTTGATCACATTAAAGTAAAGTCCAATGGATTAGGGAATGTAGCATTTTTATGATATACTCACAGTTTGATGGTTGTATTTCTTTTTTGTCACCTTGTTTTAAAACACTGTTGACAATTTTTTTGTTATCTATAATGTGTTTTCAATTATTTAGCTACATTTAAAATGTGCAATGGCAAAAAAAAGTACATAAAAGATGCTTAAAGTCATAGTTAACCCAAAAAATAAAATCATCCCATCATTCACTCAATGTCATCTCATTTTTATGTCCTTAAAATAAAAGTTAATGGGGTCCAATGCAGTTATCAATTTTGGGTGAACCACCCCTTTAAACAAGTTTTAGGTAGTCATTTGAAATTATTTTCATTATGTTTTCTGGTCATATATTTTCAGGAGCATGCTGTGCTGTATGTGAATAAACCTTGCATACTGGATGTCTGATATATGGTCAAATTAACAAATATTTCAATATTTATATTCAAGGACATTATTGTCAACCAAAATTTGTTGTTTTTGTTATTTCATTGACTATTAAATGCCATTTCAGTCAGATGAAAACATACTACAATAATCAAAACGAAGAGTTATTTTCATCAAAAAAAAAATTTGGAATTGTGGTCTGCATGGATTTTTTGCTTGTTTTTTTTTTTTTCTTTTTAACTCCATGCCAGATTCTTTCGTCTGTTTTCATAGCAAAAAAAAACTAAACTTGATTTAAAAAATTTAAAATCAAAACTAAAGACATTTAAGACCCATTTTCCCCAAATATCCTAAAACTAAATTTGGATTAACTTGATAAAAAAAAATATATATATTAATGGTATCAACAGAATAAAACCATTCTCTCAGAGGAGTAGAAAATCCCAATCCAATAAAATATGTTTGTCAGAAAAAGAGCTCATATACGAGGCTTTCTGAATGGACTGAAGATTCTGGCCATGTTTAAACCCTCGTATCAGCTGGGATTGTTCGGCGTGAGGGGCGTAGAGAGGGACGGGAAGGCACATGAACTGTTCACTAAGTGACACATTAGTTAAGGGAAGTGTGCAGGACTCTGTGCTGGAATGGAGGGTTCGGGGTTCAGATAAGAGCACTCACTCATGTTCTCCTCCTCATCAACATCCATGGTGGTGAAACGCCTCGACTGGCCCTGCGCTTGCTGAGCCATGGCCACACCTGAAACACAGACACATCATCATTAGCGCTGTTTGCTAAAGTAAGCTAAATAACTATAATCACAGTTACTTTAGCTTAACCTTGGGGTCAGGGATTTGTACAAGAAGCATTAAACACACCTACACCGTTTGCACTACAGACATAAATGTAGCCTCAGACCTTAAATCATGTGGCTTGTTGAGGAGAACTGTGCTATTACTTCAGATTTTTTTTACCTGGTGGATGGAAAATACGCCACAGACTTACATATGCTGTAAATATATGTATATATATCCCAGGGTTGGTAATACTTTCGAAAGAAGTCTCTTATGCTCACCAAGGTTGCAATTATTTGATCAGAAGTCCAGTAAAAACAGCAGTGTTGTGAAATATTATTACAATTTATATTTTAATATACTTTTAAAATGTAATTGATTCCTGTGATGAAAAGATGAATTTTCAGCATCATTACTCCAGTCTTCAGTGTCACAATCCTTCAGAAATCATTCTAATTGGATGCTCTAGAAACATTTCTTATTATTATCAATGTTGAAAACTACTGTACTGCTTAATATACTTGTGGAAACGTGAAACTTTTTTTTTTCAGGATTATTTTATGAACAGAAAGTTCAAAGAACAGCATTTATTTAAAACAGAAATCTTTCATAACATTAAAAATGTCTTTAATGTCACCTTTGATCAATTTTATTTATTTTTATTTATTTATTGAAAATCATTTCAAATTCAGACTGAACCCCAAATGGATGAATCAGAAAAATCATTCATACTGATTTGTGAACCAATTTGACTGATTCAAACTGATTCAACCGAAAAGAATCGACTCAAAAGAACAAATCATTCACACGTGTGGCATAAGTTTTATTCTACACATAAGCAAAAACTACAGCATTATGGAAAATGTACATGCCTTTTCCATGTCTAGAAAATACAATTTTAAAATTCCCTCATACTACCAAAACCATTCCCATGACCGTAGGAACAATGTGAATAGTAAAGTGACAAATTCAAGAAAACAAACACACTCTCCTCCAAATCATTAGTCTCACTGAAAATGACACTTTACCAAAAGATCTGGTGTTGCAAGTACCAAAGAGAGAGTACTGACAGTCATATAATGTCTCTAAATAATGGCATCATGCATCCCGAGCTGCTTTAATTAGACAGGCGAGTGGAGCAGTGTGAACAAGAGGAAAAGAAGAGGAGAAGAGAGGTGAGAAGAGGACAGAAATGAAAGACGAGAGCAGAGAATAGGACAGAAGAGGAATGAAACACCATTGACTGTGAGGTTAAGCCTACAGTAAGTGTATAAATATTCAGCAGGAGAAACTAATCTTGGAGAGAAAGGGCCGTGCTTGACAGGCCGCAATAGCAGGAGCAGTCTATTGTGACTTTAATATCCATTCGATTAGACCTCATCTTCAGCTGCCTCGGAGGAAAAATACAGTTATTGACATCAACGGGCTTTTAGTCCCATTGACACGGATGCCGCTTGAGCTCAGGTGAAAAATACAACACAAACACATGAGGAAAATTCAACATTCCATTAAAAAAGAGCTCATAATAGAGTGGAGATGCAGGGCTGCGTTGACTTGAGGCTATAGTGAAGCAGCTTTTATACAGCAATGTGACGCAGAGCCGATACGGAGAGCTTCTAGATGAACTGAAAGAAAAGACGCTGTCAAGGAAATAATGTCAGTATTTCTGCTTTCTCTTTCTTCATAGACACATTTTAAAGGGATAGTTCACGGGAAAAATGTAAATTCTGTCATTATTTACTCACGTCGTTCCAAAACTGTATGACTTTCTTTCGTCCGTGAAACACAAAAGGTAAATTTACAGTAAAAACATCTGAACTACAGTAAAAAAAAAAAAAAAACTGTTGATCAAATTCTTCACCCTCTATACAAGGATGCCTAAAAAAACGAAAAGGGGAAATCTATTAAAATTCTAATGAAGTTATATTGTGAATCTAATTAAGTTACAGTCGAGGTCAAAAGTTTACATACACCCTGCAAAATGTTAATTATTTTACCAAAATACAAGGGGTCATAAAAAATGCATGTTATTTTTTATTTAGTTTTGACCTGAATAAGATATTTCACATAAAAGACGTTTACATATAGTCCACAAGACAAAATAATAGTTTAATTTATAAAAATGACCCCTTTCAAAAGTTTACACATGCTAAAGGGGGGGGGTGAAAACTTTTTGAATTTGAAGATCAGAATACATTTTACTTATTTTGTCTTCTGGGAAAGACGTAAGTATCTTCTGTAGCTTCTGAAGGGCAGTACTAAATGACAATAATTATAAATGTAATTTATAAATCAAAAGTCACTGTCTGTAATAACTTAATACATCAGGGCCATAACAATAAACAAATAAAAAAGTATGATGTCATAGACCAAACCATTGAGCAACACGAGCAAGACGCTCTATGTGAGATGGAAATCCAATGAAAGCCATTACAAAGCACATAAAGCAGCCAATCACAGCTCTCTGCTTTCGCTCTGGCCCATTCTTCATGGGCGACACTTTCTTAAGCTATACTAAATGGCCTAATTAATCTGGTCTAATGGTGGGTGACATCAAATATGCTACCACAATTATTATCCTATTAAAGATTCATATTATATAAGAAAATTGAAAAGAGTCAGGGGAGTGGTGTTGTGGGAGTATTTGTCTGAGCAAAGCTGAAATTTCAGCAGGCGTCAAACGGCTCCTTGATTTTGCATCTCTCTGCTCTTTTCTGCTCTTGCTGGTCTGCTAATGGTCTATGGTGTAATGAGCGACTCAGAGACTCAGGCTCGTTTTGTGTGTGTCGCTTTTGATTTAGCTTCCTCTGCCGTTCTCATTTTACACATGAATCCATAAACAGCATTGAAATCAGCTTTAATCTACAAGTGGTAGACACAAAAGTGCAGGAAGGGTGCAGCTGAATGTGTCATCTGCATCAAGCACAGGTGACTGGAGGCCATGAAGGTCATTGTCTCAGCTTCACTTCATGCCTATACGGGAAGCGACTGATGCTGTGACTGATCACAGAACAAAAAACAGTAAGCTTGAAGCTCAACTTATAGAAATAAGAAATAACATGAAAATAAAACCTGGTAAAAACAGTAGTTAAAAAGACAGTAGTTTTGTTTAAATACAAAATGATGAAAAAACAATAGTAATATAAATAATTCTTTTTTAAATAATAACATATAATATAAAATAATATAAATTTTTTTAAATAAAACATTCATTTCTGTTAGGACCTTAGAAGCTCACCATGGGTTGGACCAGAGTCACAGACTCAAGAGTAACCACGAGAAAGGTGTTGACACTGGAACCCAAGCCATGTCACATTTGGCTTGTTTCTGTGGACTCTGAGGGCAGCGAGAGGAGATTACAGGATTTCCTGTTTGTACAGCTGTGTCATGTCCCTCCATCTCTGAGTACACACAGTCCAGAGACAGTTTAACTAGCAGCTGGACACACATCAGTTCATTAATGTTTCTAGCCAAACACACAAACAGAGACCAGCATCCGTTGTTTCAGAGGATCCCAAAGCCAGCTTAGGGCTTTTAAAATCCCAGCATGAATTTCTCAGAGTGCATCATATCAGGACACTGTGAGAGCAAGCGCTTCTGCAATAACAGAGAAACAGCAATCCAATATGAAATCAAAAATAACAAACCTCTGCTCATCTGGCTGATGCAAAAGTGCAGGACTGTGAAATACAGTTATCTGGGAGATGTACATGCACTCTCTGATTTGTTTTTCATTCATCTCGCATGGCTGTGTGGAGGAGATGTTCAATACATCTCTCTCGGTGTCTGGCTATAAGACCATAAAACTAGAAAAATAAATAAATTAGGGCTGGGCAAGTTAACGCGTTATTATCGCATTAACGCATTAATTGATTAACGCCGACAATAATTTTATCGCGCGTTAACGCAGTTTTTTTATTATTATGAAAGTCCGTTGCTCACTGGCCCTGAATACACATACAGACAAACCATGGGTCACAGGAGGGGTGGGATGTTGATCATTACTGGTTTGGGTTGGGTGTCATCACGCGTCTCAACCAATGAGAGCATTTGGGGTGGGCATAAGACAGCAGCTGCACTCACATGAAGCGCTAATGACTTCGGCCCTGTCCCAAATGGAACACTTCATGTGCACTTGCGGTCTTATGGACTTACAATGGCCACCGCGTGTGCGTGTCCGTTAAGTCCACGAGACCGTAGGCTGTCCCATTTGTCATTTTAGCATTCAGAAGGGTGCTCGCGAGCACCCCCTTTGCGGCCGTTATGCGCCCTCGATCCGCACTTCTACCAGACTTCCAGATCTATCACTTTTGGCGCTCAGAAATGTTCACGCAATCATGCAGCACATATCAGAAGTTCCGCGCTCCGGCGCAGTTAGCGCTCAAACTACATGCGTACCGCGCCCGAGCCCAACTGAACCGCGCTCTGGCCCACCTCTTCCAACCGAGCCAGGGACGGCTAAACTGCGGCACGGAGCGATCATACTAGTCAAACCAACCGGGCTTTGGTGGTGAAATGCGCTCGGGCATGGTTAAGATTTCCTAGTGTGAGTACACCCTTATTCTCCCGCATCCCGCACACACGAGTCTCTACCCGCCCGCACCCGCACTCGCCCATCAAGTGTTGTCCCGCGCTGCACTCTGTTGCGTTGGGTCCCGCGATAGTGCAGGTCTCTAAGGTGCCTGTTATAATGTTATGATCGAGGCTCTGGACTTGTTTTTGAAAACTTGTTTTTCTATATCAAACTATAAAATATTTTCTATAAAAACGTTAATGCCCTGGCAGTGGCAAATAGCTTTGGTTTTATATTTAATTTGATTACATTAATATCATAAGTTGAGATTTACAATAAATATTTTAACAGCTACTATGTAAAAGGAATACTGCTGTAAAAAAAGCACTTTATTTGTTTAAAGTCTTTGCAAACCAAATGTTATTGCACTTTTGTTCATATAGCAGTACTTT